CATTGTGTGCCGTGTCACCTGTGTGTTACATCGAAAATGCGGTGTATAGGATGAGAACGAAACAAATTCAAATTTGTGTTTACGCTCTGGAGTTCGCGCTTCTTTAAATTTCAGTTCTGGTTTCGAAGGAAAGAGGAATCGCCTCTGTTATCTTCGTTGATTGTTTGAAAATCTTCAACTGTTTCAGCCAGGTGATCCGTAAAACAGCTACCGATTTCTCCTTTTCTTGCGAAACTGATACAACCACGACTCATTTGGACTCTATTTTTTCTCGATATGCAAATTCAGTGGAGTTAGATCTGCAATTATTTTCCACTACTTGCAGTTTTCATCGGGTTCCTTGTTGAAACAGTACCACAATACAGAATACGTTTTCATCAATGTTGGGAACAGTAAATAACTCGAATAAGTTTCTTCGGTTGTAATAAAAAATAATCGAACTGGTGGAGTACTTTCACAAAAATAACGAAAGCGATGCTAAAACATTTCGTTGGATTAAAAATAGAATAATGAAACGAAACTTCTGAAAAACTATGGGATAGTAATGTTTTTATGCATAGTTCTCGGTGCAACTGTATGAGAGGCACTCTTAATAATCGTTTTCCTTAGATTACCACTTTCACGTTAAATTACTTCCTAACATTAACTTATAATGATTTACTATATTTATTCTTTATGTTTCGATTTATGTTTTTTATATTGCATCATCAAAAATACACAGTTTCAATATATTTTCTATTATTTTAATTTCTGGTACTTTTCCTTCAATTTTGCAATCGTTCATGTTTTTGGGGTTGTTCATATTTTCATATAATTGAAATATTAAATAAATAAATTTAACATTTAATTTAATTTAATTTGAAAATTAAGTTGTAAAATGAGTTTTCATAAAATAGGAATAATGTTTACTCTGTAACACTTGAATGACATTCTAATTTTTTTTTATAAGAATTAAGATTAGTTAGTAGACAAAAACGTACATTACGTTTATTTGCATAGTATCATCGTTTTCCATTTTTCTTGTAGAAGCTTGGGCTGCGTTCTCATTTATCCGTTCACTATTTTTCACGTTAATGACTCCGTTTTCTCTGTCTCCATGCGTCAATAACCGTTCCTCCGAGAAACCGTTATCGGGTAGCTTAATCATTTATTGAGATCAAGTTCCTTCTGGTTAGGTGGATACTCGCAAAACGAACTCTCGTTACAGTGGTTATCTATTGTTTCTTTTCTTCCTGAGAAGCCTCATGTTACTAAACTTTTTGCAAAACTTGAAAGTAGCTTTATGTATCAAATTATCGGTGAGTATTATTTTTATAGTAGTTGTAAGAAACGTTTAAATGAAACCGACAATTGAAAATGTTCTAATTTGTAAATTCCTCGAAATTTGTTGTTGATACTTTCTCAAATCACGTGTAAAGTATAAATAAATATTTATTGCAACACTCGAGTACTAAGTATGTTGTTAGTTATAATTAATGATATCATTCGTGTGATTCATAAATATTGAAATGTGAAATATAAAATGCAAAATAACGAATAATTAGAAATGATTTAAAGTAATTTAAAGTATTATAAATGGAATGTTATAGTAATTAATAATTCACGTAAATATATTCGAAGTTGTCTGTTCGTCATAACATTCAAAACAGTTGATGCGCACTTTGATAAACTGATATTAGACTCTAGAATTGTTTACAACAAAGTTAACAATTTTTTTAATAACGTATTACAGCCTGAGATGACACAAAAACAATGATATGCATTAATTGAGGTCTTTCTATGTTGTTTCACATAATCATCGTTGCTCGCTGTCTGATGTAATCTCACGTAACTATTGTAGGAAATTTTCCTGCGTCCATATTAATGTTGTTATCACGAATTGTACTTAACGTTTTCAATTTAACAAAGATTAATTTAAGATTCTTAATGAAAAATTATTTTTATTCTTCGTATTGGTTAGTGTAGTGATTTCAAACAATTTGACATACCTGTTAAACGTTAAATAATTAGGTCAATATTATGTAATTAACTCTTTTTTCCTTAATTCGTGTTAACTTGTTGCTCTTAAGTAAAAGTTCAATTACGTAATTACGAAAAGGTGTTTCTTTTAATGTGGCACAGTCGTTGATGTGCTCTACGTTTCCTTTTCCTTGTAAAACCTTTAACAAGAAGAGAAAAATGTGCAAGCTTAAGTAAAAGGAAAGACATTTGTTCCAGTACTCCGAGCATTAAGGAATTCTAAAAATATGTTAACTTTCTTTTACAATCTTAATAGATCATCAATTAGACATGCAATATTTTCAAAAATTACTAAAACAGGCGAAGAAATTCTACTTTGAAGGATGTAGTAAATTAAAGTAAAACACACACTAAGATGGTTTAATACTTTTTAATCTTTGACGTCAATGTTGTTTATATACACAGTATGAAATTTCCAAGTGTTAGGATAAATATTAAATTAATAAATAAATACTTAATAAATGAATAAGAGGAGTATTTAAAAAATGATTGAAGGGTTCGTATTGTGAAAGGATTTTAAAATATAATTTATTATAAATAAGAAAATAATTGTGAATATTATTATTAAAAAAGATGGAAGTAATGAAACACAATGGTTAACTTCAGACTACCAATAAAAAATGACGCAGCTTCCCTCACTACTTACTATCTACTAAGAAAGCAAGCTTCCTCTACTTATACCGGAAGTAATTTATGACTCAACCTAATATTATTTTCCTCTTTCATTATGTATAGAGCGTAGTCTACTGCGTTTAGCTCGTAATGCAAGGTTCCAATCTAAGTAGCATACGTAGATAAAAATTTCCAATTTCACGTCATCTTTGCCATTTCTAAGATCATCACAGTCGATAATCATATTACAAAGTTCAGTAAATATAGTAATTTTAAGACCTATTTATATAAATATTCGAAATGTTACTATAAACCAACGAAATAAAACAAACATAAATGTAACACAAAACTGATACAATAAATATAAACATTAGAACATAAGAACTGCAAATTTAATACAATAATTGTTAATCAAACGAGAAGAAGCAGTAAATAATAATGCGAACTATTTCACATAATGAATTGAATATAATATATATGAATATAATGAATATAATAGAATATAATGAAATAATTATTCAAAATAATGTATTTACGCGCGTATTGCATTTAACCAGTGACAAATCTGTTTAGTTCAACCGTCAATAAGAGAATTACTCCATTCCAAGATTCCTGGAAGTCGTCGAGAACCTTTCTTTTTGTCAATGGCGAGAGTTTTCTAGGAATTAGACAGTCAGTCAGCAATGAGACTTCGTAAGCTTAGGAACATTTCTAATTTACCCTTATACATTCTTCTGCACACAATTTTAGCGATCAAAGTCGCCGCATAATTCAAATTCCAAGAATTAGCTACTCTATACAGTACACTGTAATTTTAATAAATAATCAAGTTATTTTGAGTTTACACCGCTGTACTATAGTTTTACGAATAGCGATTAGACGGCCGCATCAACGAATATATTCGTCTTTTCGCCTAGCGCACGTAATAGCAAGACCAGTAACTCCGGTGAATTAGCATTTCCTAGACGCTTTCTAGGTCCGCCCGAATGTCTCGTCTGGCGCGACGAAAATTGTGCAATTGCGATCTCCTGGCGAAAGTAAAATTACACGGTACCATTGTAGAATGTCGTAATGCGATCGAAACGATTGCCCAACTGAATGGCTATTTTCTTGTGAATTTATACCCGTGCTAACCCGGACAAAGGGACAGTTCGCCTATCAATGATGGGTTTCCCTCACACGGAACAGGAATATCGGGAAATTAAATCGATCTTGTGACCGTAAAAGAGAAAGGTGTACTAAAAATCGTGGAATCGTAATTAGACGTATCAGCGAAATATGTATGTACTTCAGTAAAGTATTTCGATCAGGACGTTTATTATATTGCAGAACTGCCGTACGTAAGATTGCAGCAAGAATAATATCAATTCGCTGTAAAGAAGAATGTGGAAACGAAAATTTGTCGCGATACTGAGATTTGTTACATTTTCGAATCATATATGTCTGATGTTATGTACCCTTCTCTTAAACGTGGTATATTATACATACTAAACTAAGAAATGCAGAATTTTTCATGTACAAGTTGAGAATGTCTAGTGATATACTAATGTGCAAAGTTTTTATTTGTGAAACACTTTTAAACTGCGAATTTTATGAATTTGTAATATAGATGATTTTTTTCTATTCTGAATGAATAGAAATGTAAATAAAAAAGTACAATGAACTATTATTTCTGGAATGGAAGGTTAGAGCTTTTAATAGAATGTATAAGTTCTTTTTGATTCCAGTTTTCACAAATTAATGTATAAAAATTGCATTCATATAGATACGCAGTCTATGTGTAATTAAATCAATTTGAAAGAAATAACAAAAAGTGTCATATGAACAAGTTGTCTAATTATAGATGGAAAATCATATACACATATTCTGTAAAATATCAATTAGTTTTCAATAGTAGTAGACGTATCGTGACAACTATACATATACCTTTAATATTATTAATAATAATGTAAAGTATATGGTAAAGTTTTTCCACCATATAATTTGAAATAATTATATAACATATTCAAAGTCAATAGTCTTTACTATAAAAATATCATATATATTAACTTCTCTATGCAACATTAACTCCTTGCTTTATCGCGTTAATCTTAAAGCAAAGACATCAAATATAACATAATCAATATAAATGTTTTTCAATTCTATTGCATTCAAATTTTAAAATATCTTTTATGTTATCAATAATTACGTTTCACAGTAAACGTAAACATATAATAATTGTAGAATTATTTTCTTTTTCTAGTCAATTATTAAAAGGCAAAGTAGTTTCATTCAGTACACTTTTTAAAAAACCCATTGTGCAAGGGGAGTTAAATAGGAAAACGTTTTTCGTTCCTTTCATTAAAAAATTGTGCTTGTTTATATTGCAGAGTTCACAGATTGAGAATGAACAGTCACAAAAATCACGGAGGGCCGCGGACAGGTGCTTCCACGAAGCTGAGGACTGTGTCCATCATTGGAAATGACCATGAGCGTGGCTGTCGCCCCGGGTAGCCTCGGTGCACCTCCATCTATGCTCACGCCAAAGATGTATCATCTACAGCAGGGATTAAGTTCAACATCGGCTTCGCCCACTCCCGAAAAAGTAAATATTCATATTATTTTTGTTGACGTTGAAACTTACGAGGTATTAGAAGAATCATTCTAATAAACTGCCTTGGTTTTTCCTATGAAAGAAATATTAGGTATCGGAAAATGTTCGTGCCGTTTTCCTATTAGCAATTAATCGAGGTTCGATTTCAATCAGCATTTCACTCGTTTAACACTAATCGTAGTGGGAACCGGTTAAATGACCGGTTTTAAAATTTGATTCAAAATTTTACGTTTCCTTTCGTTCATTTAACTTTATATCAATTTCTATATTATCCCATTAATTAGTTCCTCAATTTTTGTCTTTCCTTTTGTGTCTGTTTCCACTAAAAAAATGTATCATCTAACTTGTTTTTATTTTGTAGCCAGCTATTTGACTGGTTACAGTAGGAAAAGTGTCGGTATGGTTAGTGTTCAGACTGAAACTACTGGACAGATCAAATTCACCCACTTCTGAATCTTTATTTTGCAAGTATTTAAATTATGAAGGCGTTTTTGCGAAAGATTTTTAATTAAATTTGTCTATTTGTACAGATACAAGATTAGGAGACCCTTCAAATGTCAAGAAACGTATTGGTCTAATTTTTATAAAAAAGTGAAAATAAGTCACTCTAATTGCTCGGTAGTTTTAATGTCAATGCGTTTACGCCGGTGTGTATCAAAAACAGTTTTGTTTATCTTTATTTTTAAAAATTCCTAAGAAAACTGTTTAGTAGTAAAATATTCGAAAGAAAGTTAGATAACTTGAAATATGATATCTTTGTAATATTTACACAATCTTAAAGAAAAATAATTACATATTCAACGATATGTAAGGAATGAATTATATAACTCTTAAGCCTCGTATATCAAGGAGCAAGTATAACTATTAATCCTGCTTTGACCTTTAAATGACCTTTTGCGGTGGAAGAAGATACATCCATATTTTACCAATTGAACAATAAATAAACGAGGAATTTATTAAGAAAATATAATCAATTAATTGCGGGGATTTATGTGAATTCAGATTTTTTAAACTCATTTTATAAGAATAATAATTAAACAAGAGAATTTAAACAAAAAAATAATTAAACAAAAATTAAGAAAGAAAAATAATATCAGTAAATATCATGTCGTATAAGTGGATTTGATATCTTTCAGTTTTCAAATGTTCTTGCATTTTATTGAAACAATTTTCAATAGAAATATATGCAGGAAAATATGACATGCTATCTTCGATCAATTACGTTGTTGCTTAATAATTTAATGTACGTCAGTAAGTATACACACAAATTTGATTCAATTCTTTTTTATATAAATTATACATTATACTTATATATTTAGAATTATAATTGTAAATGGAAAATACAAAATGAAAATGAAGTAATACATATTTCATGCAACATTTGAAACAAAACAAAACATCATTTCATTGGTAGTTTCAACGACAAAATGGAAACTAATACTAGGTTAAACGCGTAAGGCTAATTCAATTATTCCGTGCGAATCGTGAAGCGAATAATAGGACAAATTACGTTTTATTCGTGTCACAGAAACTGCGCATCTCGGTTTTCTGGACCGAGAACGGAACCAAGGACGCGTGTTCGTTTTGATAAAAACCACACAGAGAAAGTTCGCGGGGACGGTTTAATAATTACAATTTGCGACAGGCCGCTTATATAACGGTGTAGCATATATGTAATAACAGCCTGTAAGTTTCCGTGGCCGTTCTCGAATGTCATTCCTTTGGTTTTCCTTTGTGTCTGCTCGCCGATTCCTTCGCGTTTCAATAGAAAGAAACGCGGGCAAGGTAGGTCAGCGCAATCTTGCGTACGCAGCTCCGGGTCCTAATTTTTCAACTGCTTTACATTCAATTCACCGCTTAACCTTCCGCGTTTACTGTTACTCTGCGTTATATTCCATTCGGTCTCGATAAATAAAATCTACTTGGAGAAAAAGAAAGAAGCTGACGCGCGTTTCCTTCAGCGAAACAATTGGGAAACATGTATGCGCTCCGGAAATATTATTGGGATAATATATTACATTCTGTTTTTCGTTTATATTCAACGAAAAGATGACCGGAATACGGTTATTTCTTATTTTTCTCTTTAAAGACGCAGAAAATCCGACTTTCTGATGTTTTTAATAATGCACATTTATACTATGATGCAACGAAAAATTTAAAAGGTATATGGGCAAATGGTACAGAAAGAGTATCATGATTGATTGATATGTAACTGTAGTTTAAAATAATAGTGAGCCTTTTTTTAAGAGATTATGT